GGTGCAAAGCCTCCTCAACATCTTCTGCTTCTTCCCTGTATCTCTCCTGACCAACCAGGAGGATAGGCAAGAAAGCATGATTCATGATTTACAAGTAACTTGCAAACGCCAACATGCAGGCCTCCATGTCACGCGGAGACACAGGGCTAGCTAGCTTGAGCCAGGAGGTTTGGAAAGAAGGCTAAGTGCAGAAACATTGCAGTGCCCCAGTCTGATGACCAAGAGTTCTTGCGCTGCTCCAAGAAAATGCGTGAGCATGGGGGACCGGCGCCTGAACAAACAGGCCCCCAATCACAACGACGTTGAGCAAAGTACCTGAGGAGAAGAGACTCAGAGTGCGTTCATGCGTGCGTGCGTGCGTGCGTGCGTGCATGCATGTGTGACTGCCGCCATGACATGCATGAATGCCAACCAGAAAGCAAGGGACAGTGTTGTAGAACACGCTCCTTTTTGCACACCGATGTCATCACTTTGCACTCATCTATCTGAGCATAACAGGTAAAGAGAGCCAATCCTCATGCGTGCAAGTGGTTTCACGCACATGGATCCAAGTCAGAGGCCACCACAAATGTGAAAATGCGCACGCAAACCTTGTGTTGCGTGAAAATGCAAGCACACATGAGCACCTCACAGTTCACTGCGTAGGCCTATCAAGTGCAACTCACACATGAATGAACATGAAGCGCAAGACCTGCTGTAAGTGAAGGTAAGTAAGGTTGCCCTTCAAGATGCAACCTTCAAGATGCCTGCCTAGTCCGTGTTCGCATAGGCCTCAAAACTGCCAAAAGAGGTCAAGCATTCATGCGTGCAAGCAAGCATTGACTGATTGCAATCCAGACATGCATGCGTGCATTCATGTCATCCATGATTGCCGCCCAGACACTTCGCGAGCAAGCTCTTTTGCAGTCTCATCATCCATTCCTGCATCCTTTGCTGCCTTCCTTGCTGAGACATACGCTGCACTCTTGCGGGAATACCTTGCCTTTTGCTCAGTGGTCTTCGCGTTCCCCGACCGCTTTTGGCCAGCAGCGTCTTCCTCTCCTGGCTTGCTTGCCACTTTCTTGCTGGCGTGGTCCTTGGACACACCTTTTGGTTTCTTCTCTGCGACTCCCTTTGGCCTGCACGGCTTCTTCGGTGCAGCTTTCCCCTTCGCTTTGCCCTTTGGCTGCTGGCCCTTTTGTTTTGGCTTTGCCTTCCTTCCTTTTGCCTGATGGCCCTCCACACCACTGCCAGCCTCATCCTCCTCAAGTTCATCTTCTTCATCACCTCCCTCTTCAACCTTTCTTTTGCGTCCGCGGGGCTTCCCAGGCAAAGGAGGCAAACAAGGAGCTTTGAGAAGTTCATTGACGCATGGTGGGGCTGGCAGCAGTTCCTTAGAATATGGCGTGCGAGAAATGGCAGGACAATTTCACAGCGCACAGCAAAAAGAAGCAACTACTGCAAGCGATCTCAGGGTCTGGCCAGCTGTCCTGGCATTGGCTGCGTCTCCTCCTCGTCAGGACCTCAACAAATCAAAACCGACTAAGGATGTAGCATGAACGAGGTGGTTTGGAAACCTGCCTGAAGACGTGCTCTTTTTGCTTTGCGCTTCCTGCAGGGCAAGCTTGACCAACGCCCCCTCCTCCTCCTGTTCCTTCCTTTGCTTCTCCATCTGCGCCTTTCCAAGCAGCTCAGCTTCTCGTTTTTTCAACTCCTCAAGCTGGGCAAGTTTCAGGCCCCTCACTCGCTCAGCTTCCTGGCGCTCTTTCTCCTCTTCTTCACGTTGCAAAGCCAACTTTGCAACGTGAGCTTCTTTTGCCTTGCGCTCTTTTTCTTCTTCTTCACGTTGCAAAGCCAACTTTGCGGCTGCAGCTTCCTTCAGCTTGCGCTCTTTTTCCTCTTCTTCACGTTGCAAGGCCAACTTTGCAGCTGCAGCTTCCTGTGCTGCCATCTCCTTCAAGGCCTTTGCCTCCTTCAGCCTGAGCATCTCAGCCTCTGCCTTTGCCAAGGCCTCAAGCCGTGCCATCTTCTTCACCCTCTCTGCTTCTGCCTCCTCTGCTTTTCTCTTCAGTTCAGCCTGAAAAGCTGCCTTCTTGGCCATGAGGGACTTCAGTTCTTCAACTTGCGTCGCAAGCGCAGACCTTTTCTCTTCAGCCACTGAACCTTTGCAAGCATGAGTCTGTGGATGACGTGCGACATGCTGCCACACATGGGCCCAACAAGATACGTTACGTTGCGTGTGAGTCATGCATCATGAATCATGCGTGCCCATGCGTGTGAGTACTGCATCATGAATCATGCCTGGGCATGCGTGACTCATGCGTGCAACTAAGAATGCATGAGAGGGGCTGAAAGACAAAGCCCTTGCCACCTTCTCTGAACTGGGAAGGTCCATGGGCAGCGCACCTGACAAACGCATTTTGCCAATGCAATGTCTCAGTTGCAAAATGTTGCAAAGCTCTTTTAGGTGGGCACATGGCGCCGGTGGTGGAGGGGTGCAAAGGCTTGCAGTCTCACCTGCGCACAACATGCACCATTCAAAACCCCTATAGCCCAGACGTTTGCACCTGAACTGGCCGGAACTTCAGGCTCACTGCGCGCAGCGGAGACTTCAGGTGCAAGTGGTAAAGCTGAGACTTCACCATGCCCAGCAGAGTCTTCACCAACCTCCTGCCCATCAAGAGACACACGCCAGCACATGCAGGCAACAAAACCTGAGGCGCCAACGCTAGCACTCGAGGACGCTTCATCATCACTGGTCTCATCTGCAGACCCATGGCTAGACTCATCTCCTGCAGAGGACACACCCTCAAGCCAAAACGTGTAAGCCATTCAGTTTGTCCTGGGAGGGGCATGCCGGCGAGCTTGAAGATGGCTCGGATGTCAGGATTCCGTGGGATGTGTGGCCTCCTGAAAGGGCAAGCCCGAAGATGTGTGTAACGTGTAACATGGCGTGCATGTGGCCTTGAGGCATGCGTGCAAAAACATGCGTGAATAATGCGTGACATGTGTCTTTGCAAGGCGGCTGAACATGAACATCAGCTGCTTGGTCACCCGGGACTGCATCTTGTGCTTGACGCCTTGTACTCATGAATGCCACCCACAACATGAACCCATCAATGAAGGCAGGCGACAAGACATGACATGGCATGACTAGACAACCTGGGCGCCATTTGCAGGCTAGTGGCTGCAAACTGACTGGGTTCTTGGGATGCAAAGAGTCATGAACTGGTACACAGACTGCTCAACCATGCTCTGACTGGGTCGGAGCCCCAGCTTGCCCACTGCCAGGCCAATCGCAAGCTTGTTGCGGCATAGGTCACCTTTGCCCATGTGTGACAATCATGCATGCGCAACCATGCATGCACAAGCGCACTGCAAAACAAATTGCAATCAGGACTCTTCGAGCGAGCTTCTTCCCTGCAATGACACACAGGCTGCCTTGCACACCCAAAACCTTCAGCTCAGGCTCATTCGCCCATGCAGCGGACAGCACAGCTGCCTGCTCCCAAAACGCCATGCCACCGTCACAAAGCAAGGCGTGCAGCAGCCAAAGCTGCGTATGGAAAGTCCACTAGAACAGGCATTTATGTAAAGACAGTTGCATGTAAACAGGTATTGAAGTGAGCAATCATTGGAAGATCCTGCATCATGCGTGCATGTGGGGGGGCACTCATTGATCACCAGCCTGCCAATCAAATCTTTCAAGCATGTGTCAAGAAGCCCACGCTGGTAAAAGCCAACCTTGCCAAGGACTTGAGAGAATGCCAGGGGAGAGATGCCAGCGCGCCATTGGATACCTCACTATAGGACATGCATGATGCATGGGTTGATGCATGCGTGTGCATGCAGCATGCATGAATGCCAAGAAGAGCTAAGGCATGGGCGATCAGCTTCACAAACAGCCACCATTGGCTACTTGAACTTCCCCCTTTGATCAAACCAAAGCTTCGGGAACTGCAAACCTGGAAACTGGTTCTCAACATAGCATTTGTTACCTTTTGTAGAAAAACATGGCCACAAAAAAAAAGTGCTCGCTTTAGTCCTCTGTCAGAAAATCTGCTCGATCAACAAAAAAGTGCTCAACCAACACCTTGAGCAGATTTTTCTGTACCACTGGGTGGTCCAGGTATAATATATATATATATATGCCTGCATTGACCACCCAAACCACCCCAACTGATCGGCAAATATGGAGTGTTTGGGATACATTTCATGCATGTTACATTACAGTGCCAACTTCCTAGGTCTCAGGTCAATAGAGTCTAGAGCCAGCTTCGTGCACAGCGCAAGAGTGCCTTGGATGGAGCAAGGGTTTAAACAACGTGATTCCATGGGGTAAAGGGATTTATGCAAAAGTAAACATGGAGGATAATCTGATTTGTCACATTGATGCATCATCAGACCTCGCTCGTGTTGGTTAACAATCTATGACGATATCACATGCCAAATTGGGATGTGCGGGCCAAGCAGGGGCCACTGCAAGTTGCCAGGGGTGGTACCTGCATGCATGAAGGCTGCCACTGGACCCCCTCCAAAGCCTGCCAGCCACGAACGATGGACAGATGTGAACAGGATGCCTTTCGTTTACCCCCCGTATCAATATTCTGAGTCTTTATTCTGGGGGGGATGAAAGGCTAGCGAGCCCGTCTGATTCTGAGAGGGAACTTCTGTGGGGCTACGGTCATGCTGCAACGTTCACATCTTTCCTCGGAATCCCCGACTTCTTTGCTTCAACTGATCCACTACTTCACGTCCGGGCGCATGAGTTCCGGCACATTAATATAAATAAGAGATTATATATTTGCCAGGGTTTTTATAATATAATTCATGATCCAAAAGATATAATGAAGAAAAACCCTGGCGAGAGGAAAGAAATAAAAGATATAATTAATATGACCCACCATTAGTAAAAATCCTGATCCTAAGAGCTATAAAATGGTGGGTCTGTTAATATTAATTCATGATGCCCGATTAATAAATCAAAGTCCTCGCGCGCGTCCTCGGCGTGCACCTGGCAGGAGTCCTCGCCGCCGAGGCACGCTTTGCCCGAGCGCATGGAGGCAGCGCGGCGGCGTCTTTCTCCCTTGGAGTCGACCGAGTCGACCGAAAAGCAAAATGATACCCTATGGATCCACATACCGAACCTGACGTACGGTGAGCAGGGAGACTATTGATGTAGGCACCAGAGTCGGGTCCAATGACCGAACCAGGTCGGTACGGTGGCAGTGGATCCATAGGGAAAGATAGATCAGACACAGGTAGTCCAGCCAGGACACCCCGAGGGTCGGAGGGTCCAGGTCTATTCCATACATGGAGGGCCAGGGTGTGTTTTGCAGGCCATGTCCCATTGTCTAGGATGCTCGAAGTGGGATCCAGGTATCTAGTCTGTGACTGACCCCCCCGACTCACCCAAAGATAGAGTCAAAGGTCTCCAAGGACTGACCATGTTCGGATCCTTTTTGCGGGATCAAGGCGCAGAAAATAATTCTTTTGGAAAACATATGACACGGTCATTTCGCATCCTGAGAAGGACGAACATCTCAATGAATGTCAACCGGAAACACCACAAAATAATCAGTCGGACTGACCCAGCCATGTTTAGGCGCATGTTTAGGCGCGTGATGCAGCTGCACTGGGCTCCTCGGACCGATCTGCACTGCGGAGCATGCATCCCGCGCGAGCAGGCGCACCCGCGCGAGCACTGCGAGCCTGGTCGTTTTCGTGCAGGCCGAACTGCCAGCACCGAAGGAAGTGGAGGCAGCAGAGGTTCCGAAGGCGCTGACGGCCACAGGCCGGGCAGGCGCTTCATGCAGCTGAGAGATCTCTTAGTTGAGATGAGGGATCTCTCTACATGGGTAGAGAGAGAGAGCGGGAGGTCCTTTAGGGAAAACCAGCTACGTGTTCACTCCTGTCTCCCTACCCATACACTCCATGTATGCCTACATTGACCCCCCAAACCATTCTAATGTAGGCATGTATGGCAGTCCCATGGGTCGTGTTTGGGCTACATACATCATGCATCCCAAAACAGCTTCGGAGCTCAGATTCATCCAGTTCCCCCCGAGTTCTTCGGGAGTCCGGTTCCAGTTTGATGTTCACAACAGACCGAAGTCCTGGTTCCTTCATGTGTAGACTCTAAAACAAAACCCTCCACAAGGTTTTACAATTCATGTTTGGGGCGTAGTAAATCATGCAAAAAACGGAGTCTCACCTTGACAGTCAAGAGTCATTTCTACCCAGATCTTCCAACTACAGTGCCAAACAGTCAGCGACCCAAACACCAGCGTGCTTCGGCCCAAGGAGGCGCAGTACGCAGTACGCATGTGTCGATGTCCGAACCGGGCCGGGCCGGGTTGGGCCGTGCACGGACACCCAAACAAAGAAACGAGAAATTGAAAGGAAGCAACAGGAAATAGGAATCACAAGGAGCTTTATAGGAGCCAAAAAAGAAATCAATAGGAACCAAACGAAAAACCAATTAGAACTAAAAGTGAATTCAATAGGAGCCAAAACGGACATCAATAGGAATATTTGCGCGAAACATAGATTTTATGAAAGGCAGGTCGGCCGCGCAATGCGTAAAAGATGGCGGGGCTGATCAAGCTGTGCACTCTTTGATCTCCCAAAGTTTCTTAAAAGTTCCTGCAGTGGCAGCCGCCCACCTCTAATTACATGTTTTTAAACAGAAGCACAGCAGTTGCTCGACCATTCTGATTAAAAAAAGACAAGTAACATAAAATGCATTTCACACCCTGAAAGTGCGTCTTTCGGAAAGAAACCAAAAATACCTCCAACTTGAATCCGCTAGTGCAAGAACTCTTTTTCCATTGTTTCCAAAGAAACTTGTGATGTTAAAACCCACATGACCTGCCCATTGGAGGTTTGCAGGTCCTGTTTCCAACGCCACCACGGGGTTATGGGCCAACACCTTGAAAAACATGCAGGCGAAGAGCTTGTGAAGGCCATTGAGGCATGTGTTGGGCTTTTTCGTGTGGGGTTAACGCCAGCACCTGGTACTGGCCCAGCACCTCGACAGATGTGGACTGGCCCATCCGCAGGACCATCTTCGCTCCGTAGGGATCTTCGCTCGACACCCGAGAAAGAATGACCGAAAGGACTTTGGTTTTGGGTGGGGAAGGAGTTCTGATTTGTGGACATCCCGACATCCTCAAATACTCATGGAAGTGGAACGACCCCCTATTTTGCAGAGGACACTTAGTCTTCCAGGGGGGTATTTTTCAAGTTCCATCGATTTCCATGATTGTTCGAGGGAGAGTGCATTTAATAACATAATACAACACATGTTTCTCAGAAACAAGGGTTTTGCCAATTTGGAGCACCTCCAATTGGAACTTTAATCAACAACCATGAACAATTGAAACCAATTCCAACATTGTGTGTATGGTGGTGGTGGGCCAGGAGTCATAGCACCAGCCCCCCCCAAAAAAGAACGCATCTTGAACCTTGATGTTTTGGTCTGAGAGGACGACTACCAGCGTTCCCTTGGCAGCCTTAGAGAGCCCCAGATATGTTTATCACCTATCCCTAAGGATCCACATTCCCTCTGAGAAGGTGATTGGAGACACTGCTGTTGAAGGTATGTGGGGAACCCTAGGTTTTTTGGCGTTTTGCACCCCAGTCTTCAGATTGCTGGTGATTCCACGCTTCTCCCTCATCACGGAACCTGGGTGGCACCAACTCCTGCTAGTTCGGGAAAAAAAATCGTTTGCCCCAAAACTGTGACCTCTGAGCTCACTTGCTCAGTTCTTGCCTTTGAGGGAAGGCCAAGCTCCGGAGGCCACCGGGACCCGACGTCCTGAAGAACCGATCAAAGCCCCAACACCGTGGAAGAACCAGGTCACCCGAAAGGAGGCGTGAATTCCGGCGGTACGGGACCAGAGTGGTTTTGCCCTTTTTCCATTGGACACCCTTTCAGAGAAATAAGCCAAGGAAGATCATGAAAACTGAGTCCACTCAAAACATGAAAAAGAAAACACACAAAAAGCACTTCCCGGCACCAGAATGAGCACCTAATTGGATGCTCCTTTGTAGTGGAATATGGGCATCAAATGGTTGCCGGTTTGGGGATCGCGAGGCCGAGGATTGGTGTAGCGCCGAGAAGATTCTGACGGAGAGGCCGGGGGTCTGCCGGCACGGGGAGATCAGGGATCTTGGACTTGGTCCATTGGTTGTGTGTAGGATAGAGTATACTATGTTTTTTAATGATAAACTGAGTGACAGAGATTAAGACAAGGAAGATCATGTCCTCAAAAGGTGAGTGTGTATCAGTGTATCAAGACTCAGTGCCAAAACGTGATTCACAGCTCCAGCTCTTTTCAGAACGCCCGATGGATGGTGTGATCTAAAGAGATGGAACACACCAAGGAGATGATGGTGCTCGACTGTTCAGACAAACAGATCTGGCGCTTGATAGCGCTTGTTACAAGAAGTCTGTCATGTCTTTACCATCAGTGAAGTCTGCACGCGACCAAGCAATCGAGTGGCAGGTACCTCTATGGACACAGGACGTTCACCCTGTGCAGTTTACGACCTTGTTGGTCGTCCGACGGACTGTGAGGAAGGCAGGCAGTTCTAAGCCAGTGAAGTGAACTGGCCAAGTCCAATGAAGACAGACGCGAGGTTCGCACAACGCGAAGGTGCGTTTTCCAGCGAGGTTCGCATGTCTTGTTGCGAAGGCGTTGAGGTCTCCAGTGGCCCAGCTGGACGCAGCTTGCCTTTGCGGTCTTGCAATCTGGAGACACTCAAGCAGTTGATTGATTGACAAGTCCCAACGGTGACGGAAACAATCACCAAACCTACCCAGGAAAAGTGGATGACCTGAACAAAAAAGAGCAAAACACAACATGTTTTGAGGATTGGTTGAGGATTGGTTTCCCCACTCAACTACTCAACAAGAACAGGAAGAACGAGGAACAAAACGACCCTTCCTTTTTGGCGTTTCGGGGAGTTACGCGTTTCCTCGCAGCTCTCTCAGACTTTCTGCGACCGGCTCTCCTACGGACGGGTCTCCTATTGAGACATCCTGAAGATATCCCACAAGCACTTTGGAGTGGTGAGTGGTGTTGTTATGTGGGATCTTTAGATGTCTTTAGTCTGTGGGTAGAACATGGGCAGGTGTCTACCCTCCAAAACAATCATGGTATACCCGAGATGGAACTGGAGCAGATCTTCCATCAATCACCGCCAGATCACCATTCCTCTCGAAAAGCACACTGTTTTGGTCCACTCGCGCACGTGGTACCTCTTTGGCTCAGACGGTCTTTTTGGACCCTCTGAATGGCAAGAGGCCAGACGAATCCGGAGGGTCCAGACCTTCCAAGGAAGACCACTTTCCTCTCTACAACCAAGTGGTTCCATATATTGTCCTCTGCAGGTGATTTTTCAGGATATCTTCTGACCGGGGGAAAGGCCTGTTTTCACGAAAGGTCAGTGGGGAGGAGGGTTCCATCGCGCGTTCTCCGGACGATTCCATTCTGCCCCGAACCCGACCGCGCATCCCGCTCCAAGGCCAGAGGACTGCGACGTGAACGCGCCGCTTGGGCGAAAGTGTTGCGCGAAGGAGGCTGGAGGAGGAGAGAGAGCCACACGACCACCACGGGCAGAAAGCTTCAGAAGGAATGCCTTGGGAAAGAGGAATCCAAAAACCACCTGGCATATAACCTTGATACTGCAAAATGGGCTATTTGGGTTTGGAACGAGACCCCCGGAAACCGGTACAGCGACGACGCAAGAGAATTGCGGGGGCCATCTCCTGGATGGAAAGCACTTGAAGATCTATGGACGAAAGTGAGGGAGTTCTGCAAGCAAGGCGAAGAATAGTGAAGATCTACTGTATCCCTAATGTAGACTCTTGATGAATCACCACCCCATGAACATGCATTGGAACTCCTTTTCATATGGGAGGGTCTAATGGTCCAGAGTCTACATGAAGGCTCCGAACGCCGACCGACCCGGTGCCCCTGGTGACCGGTGGTCTTCGACCCCCCCAAGAGGGGGCGGCCCAAACGGAGCCCTCGGGTCGTAGGGATCTGGGTACCACGGCGGTGAATCCTCTCGGCCACCTACAAGCCGTGCCGTGTTGGCGTGTCTTGTGGTGGAAGTGGTGGAGACGTGGTGCGACAGGAAGTTGTATGGGTGTCATCAGCGAATTCTGCTCCCAAACGGGCTCCAGTTGTACCTGCAGAAGGTGGAAATGAAACCTTTGACCGCAAATAAGTTGATGGGCTTCTTCAATCGCCCACCTGATTTTAGGATTCAGGTTGAAGATGGAAACAACATCACATCCACTTGCCACATGGTTTCACGACCCTTTCTCCACACAGATGCTGACCCGAAACTGGACGGAATTGGCAGTGGTTCACCCGGAGTAGATCACATCCATCGAAACCATCGACATCGAAGGTCCTTAAAGCCAGCCGGTTCCATCGGAACAAGTCCTGCACAGGATAAGTGCGATAACCTTGAGCAGGTGGCCACATGTGAGTCTTTATTTTCTTGGGACAGTGAGGGAGTCAGAGGTCGTTGACTCATATGCTTAAAGATCACAGCTTGGTTCATCTACAGTCTACCATAAGTTCTGAGAGCTGCTGAACATACCCACTATCCCATTGATACCCGCTATACTGTCAGCATGGACCTGGATTCGTATTTTGGGGTTTGGTGTCGCAAATCAGGACGCTCCACAATACCCTACAAAAACCACCAAATACAATGACCCGAACCAAAATGCCATGGTACTTGAAAGGCGGGTGAAAAGGGAAAAACACAGAATTGTTGATTCTTTTTTCGTGTGTCCACTCTGCCCGTCATGTTCGATGGTTCGATCTTGGTGTCCCGTCCGATCGAACTTGGAATACCCACCGTGCGCCACTTGATGTGACTCCGAAGAGCGCGCCACTCGTCGTGGATCGGTCGCCGGGTCGTTCGGAGGGACGCCGCGGGTGGGGCGCAGAGCGAGTCGGTGGAAGACCCTTTTAGGCGCACCAGCGACTGGAACTATTGCCTCCTACGCCGGTGGCCCAGCAACTGGCTGTCGGAGGGCGCTTGCTTGGAGGGAACCAACGAGTGGAATTGGGCTGGGTAGAAGATGGTAGAAGTCAATCTTCGTGAGTCCATCGAAGGAACACCGCAGCTCTGTATCTAAAACCGGCAAGCAGAACATTGCTACTCGACTACTCGACTACTTGGAACAGCGCGGAAACCCGGTGTCCATATTGGATCGTTCGAAGTGAAGCCTGTGGCCTCAAGGCCCCACGAATCGGCCCAATCGTCCTCGGAGATCCAGACCTTACGCTCCCTGGAACTAACATGGCAGTGGAAAGCCACCTGTTTGCAGTGGAAAACGATCTTCCATGTGGCCATGTGGCCATTCTCCATGTTGCCATTCCAGGGAGTGTAACCGCTAGCTGGCAGCTTGGTGTCGTCAAGGTAGTGTTTTTTCCAAGCTGCAGCAAATGCCTCAGTTTGGAAAGGCCACCGGCTGGTTGAACTGATACCGTTGGTGAATAAGGAGTTTTTGGAGAAGGAGAAGCCAAGGCGGCAAGGGAGAAGGGAAGAAACCAAGTGATGGTAAAGGTGGTGGCAAGGGGGAGGTAGGGCAAAACAACCAGGGCAGGTGAACAAACCAAGC